TGGGCTAGCAGCGCCCCCCACCGCTCCGCCCGAGAGCCGTGGCTGATGGCTCTTTTCCTTGGTGCAGGTAGCCTTCATCTTCAGCTCGGTGGTCTACGGCACCAGCTACCGGTCCATGAGCTCCATGGCGAAGCCGTCCTTCGCGGACGACGGCAGCCTCGCCGACGGGGGCATTGACCTGAATATGGAGCAGGGGATGGCAGAGTGAGTGTCCACACCACCCGCACGAGTCCAGGTGAGCAGGACCTGCTGCCTGAGCGTGCACACAGAGCTGGGAGAGTGGGCCAGGCCTCGGCTCGCCCGCCGGCGCAGCCCTGGGGGGGGCTGGAAGCCCGGAGGTGGGTTTTTTTTTTCCAAGAACGCACCTAAACTGTTCTTGTTACCTGAACACAGGGCCTGGCGTGCGCTGAGCGCCAGCCGCCCGTGGGGGTCTGTCAGCCTGGGACAGCCGCTCTCCCTCGGGCTGAGGCGCTTGGGTGGGAGATCCCAAATGGTTCGGCTGGGGCAGCTTACAGCCGGCATTCAGCGAAGAGATGGCGCTGATGCTGCGCCACTTCTGCGGCACGCAGGGCTGGGTGCTTTCTCTTTAAACCGGCGCTGCGGGTAGTGCTTGCCAGCGCTCCCCGTACTTGGCTGCAAACTGGCCATGTCTGGAGCTGTCCCCCACACTAAGAAGCCCCCACTCTGTCTCAGCCAGCTCCCCTCGCCTCCCCCGCCTGTCCTGCCCCCTGCGCTCCTGCGTTCCCCGTGTCTGTCTGCTGGCTGTGTGCCTGTCCGGCGTTCCTGGCGGAGCTGCAACTCTCTTTTCCTCGGTCAAGGAACAGACAACAGTGATTCCTGGAAAGCGCTGTTAAATAAACTAAGGAGGCAACAGTACTGAAACAGCAGAACCACCCTCTAGATTTAGAAAAAGCATCGTGTTTTCCAGCAGCAAGCGCCAAGCCAGTTGCCGGGCAGTTGCGGACATGTCAGACTTTGCTCTCTGTCCTTCCTGCCCTTGGCCCAGCTTCTGCTCGGGTTCTTCAGCACGTGCTCAGCAGGTGCCTGGGGTGCTTGGCCCCCTCGCTGTTGTGTCCTTGGCTACAATTGAAGGTTTCCCTCCGCCTTTCGCTTGCTGCCAGGCTTTTGGAGAAATACAGCAGAGCCCTCTGCGTACACCAAGCATCCTCATGCTGGGAGGGCCACGTATTGATTTCTATATTTTTTTATTTTTCCTAACCTAAGTTTTATTTCTGCAGCCAGCGGGTGGCCGGGGCTGTCCTCGGCAGGCAGCCCGCCTCGCATGGCGCAGAACCTGCTGGGTGTGCGCGGGACGAGCCCTCGCCTTGCGTGTTTGCTGGCGGAGCCGTATGTTCTCAGCCAGAGTGACTCCGATGTGCGGTGCGAGGGAATTAATTCCGTTGTAACTTGTGAGCCGAGAGCTTTACACCTCCTTCGTCCTTTAGTGACTTCTTGCTGGTCAGCTGAGCATTTTTCTCTCATTTTACACCGGTTTGGCTCTCCTGAGTGGAAGCATAACGTGTTTTGGGTACCTTTTGTGGGAAACGGAACACGGGGCAGTTGAGTAAGGCAAACACAGAAATTTGATGTCGTCTGGGGTGTATCCTCCGAGCTGTGGGGGATGTGCAAGGCAGTGGAGCAGAGTGTGTGCCCCGATACCTGCCCCATGCCTGCGTGAGATGGTGCCGGCGGGCGTTAGCCCAGGGATCCCGTTACCTGCGGTGAAAAGGCGACGGGCACAGCTGTGCCACGGCCGCAGTCTGGTCGCTTCCCTCGGCACCGGGACGCCAAGGTTTTTCTGCCGGAGCGATACACCCTCGGGGTGAATTTTGTGATGCGTTAAAATAAACGGGTGCTTGTCTGAGGTATGGGTGGTGCAAAGCACAGCGCAGCTCAGCGGCGGAGCTGTAGGAACAGAACCTGCGCAGCTGAGTTCCCATCCTTACCCTGTCCCTTCGTACCTGAGCCCTCAGCTGTGAGAGTGCAAGCCCTTCGGTGTTTTAACCTCACTGCTACACAGATGTAAAGCATTAACGAGCGCTCGGTGCTCCTCTGAGGCAGTTTGTCAGGTGAAGAGCTTCAAATTACCCCTCCAGGCATCGAGGAACTGCTCTGGGCTAGCGGTTACTGTCAGAGAGCGGCGGATGTGTTCCTGCTTCTCGGCCAAGCATGCCACAGCTGGTGAACATGTGCTGTCTCAGAGCTGTTTCTGGAAGGCTGCGGGTTTGGCGGTGTTTCCCTTGCGCTGTCTGTAACCGAAACAGATTCCGTGCGCGCTGTGGAGTCGGGGAGGGCCGATCTCGCTGGTCCCTGGGAGAGCTGGGTTCGGTGGGAGCTCTGCTGTGACCCCTCTGTGGTGCCAGTGGTGCACGGGGTTTCTGAACCTGGGTGTCCCGCCACGGAGCTGGTGATGGATTCTGCAGGGGCTGGAGTTGGTGATGGCGTCCCAGTCTACACCAGTTGGGTCTGGTCACTGTGTTTTGCGCTGTGCTGCTTGGAATGAGACAGGCTATACCATTACCGTTACCTCTGCCTCTGTTTTCTCAACTGGCTTCTTGGATGTGACTTGGATGTTTCTTACTCCAGCAGATGATGATTTAATGGGAGGGAAGGAGCTGGCATTTTTCATTTTTGTGTTGAAAACACTAACACGTGTTTACCCCTCCCGGGTGTCAGGTCCCCGGGGGCGGTGGTGGAGGTGCGGGCAGCCTGTCCCTGCACGTAGCTGCTCTCGGCTCTGCCTCAGGCTGCCTTGAGGGACCCAGCAGTCGGAGAAGCCAGAGGGGAGGGGGAGCCCCTGTCGCTGTAGCTCAGCGTGCGGGGGACGGTGTGCTTGTCCTTGGTGACCCCGAGTGCGTCCGTCAGCCTGGGCAGCAGCACAGGGAGGATCTGTGCCTCCCCCAGCGCAGCCGGCCGTGCGCAGCTCGACTTTATGCCACGACACGTGTCAAATCAGCAGGTGCTGGCTGCTGTGGCAGGCGGTGGGGGTAGCGGTTTTGTTGCTGATTTCCACCCCTCCACTTTCCTCAGCTTTCTCAGAGTCCCTTTTCAGAGGGAGCCTAGCTCTTTAACTCATTAGATTTTGAATTTTTTTTTGTTTTGTTTACTGCTCTGGTTCTTCTAGACGGCCGTGTGTGGCAAAGCGTAGAGCTGCGGGGACAGCCCTTCAGTTGCCCGGGCAGGGTCGCTCCCCAGAGGTGCTGGCAGAGGGGCTGGTGTGTTTGGCAGGGGCCGGGGGGGAAGGTTCATGCTTTGCTTTTTCCCCTCAGGCACCTCAAGGATGTGATCCTGCTGACAGCTATAGTCCAAGTGCTGAGCTGCTTCTCGCTCTACGTCTGGTACTTCTGGCTTTTGGTAAGCCCCTGCGGTTTTCCTCGTTGCTCTTGTTGTTCCTGTCTTCCCGTGTCTTCAGAGTCAGGGACATTATTTATCCATTTCATTTCAGTCTCCTGTTTCAGGCCAGAACTATTTTCTGATAAATTTTTTAATCTCCCTGTCAAATCTTGTTAAAAATGAGACCGTACAAGGGAGACACGTCCCCCTCCCTTTGAGTCAACCACACAAAAACTGGGCTGGCCTTGGCCTTTCTCTCTGGTCCTGTGAAAGGGCAACAAGAGACACGAGGCGGATCAAAGCCGTCTTTGTGCATAGAGCCACTGTATGACTGTGGCATACTGTGCTGCTGCTTGTTCGGCTTCCTCTGTCATTCACCAGCACGGACTGAGGCTGGGAGCTGCTGGGCACTGTGCTGCTCGGTAGATCAGGCTCCGGCAGGCTTTGATTTCCCCTTAACACACCAGGCTCTTCCTACTCCTGAAACATTTGTCGTGTGCCTCCAGCAAAAACTGCTCTTGCAGAAAGATAGAAAATACCTCCAGTCGCTTAAAAAAAAAAATACCCCAACCCTACAGTTGCTTTGAATATATCCCACAGAGGGGGCCATCTTGGGAGAGTAGAAAGGTACCTTGTTTCAGCCCTTGCTCACAAGTTCCTTGCGAGCCAGCCTGGCAGAGGGCAGTCTGCGCTCTGACCGTGCCCCGGAGCCCATCCGGATCACATTTGGTTTCTTTTAGAGAAACGGGGGTGTTTTTTCTGGAGGAGGGAGAGGCGGAATGTCTGGGCAGTCAGGTCCTCCTGGGTAATTCAGACCTGATGCTGGGATTTCCACAGACGAAGCCTAAGTGCCGTATACGTAGGCAAGTTCCTAACCCATATGAAATCAGGCCATGGCGCCCCCCCGCCACTGCCTTTGATTTCCGTGCATCGCGTGACGCCCCTGATCCAGCCCGTCGAGATACTCCAGCTCCTTCAGCCTCCCCACCGTCCCACCCCCCAGGGCAGAGCCGTCCCCAGAGTGACCGGATCTGTGCCCCTCATGTTTCGCAGGCTCCGGGGCGCGCGCTCTACCTCCTATGGGTGAACATCCTGGGGCCCTGGCTTACCGCCGACTCCTCGCCGGCCAGTCAGGAGCCGAACGAGAAGAAGCAACGCCGACAGGAACGCCGACAGATGAAGCGCTTCTAGCCCTGGCTGGGGAGATAGATTAACGCCGTCTCTCATCTCCGTGCTGTTATTTCATCAGGGATGCGACCGAAACAAATCCGAAACCATCGCAGTAGCTACGTTACCCTCTGTCATTGCTGCCATGCCACTGGAAACGCTGCACGCGGGGGATTGCAAGGTTGGAGGAAAGCAGTACATTAAAGAGCAGAGCCTAACAGACTGTGCTGGCAGCCTGTTCGTACAGGGGTGCTCGCAGAGGGGAGCTGCGAAAAACACCAGCGTGTTCCTGGAGACCTGGACCAGAGGGAAGCAAAATCCCCCGAGACAAATGATCTGATCCCTTCCCGAGTTCGCCCCGTCCTGTCCTGCCTGCCGCAGCATCCGCACCCGGCGAGGTCAGGATGCGGGCAGTCTGTGAAGTGGGCTTGCAGCCAAGCTCGGAGTTTTTGGGATCGAGCCTGGGCTCTCCAGAGCCATGCACTGGCCTATGCTAGCTTTGGGGGAGCTCAGTGGGGTGAAAGGTGACAAGAAGCTAAAACCAAAGCTGTGGGGCTCATTTGCATGGGTTTTGTTGTTTTTGGTTTTTTTTTAAAGGGCTCTGCTGGGGTGGCACAGCTGGGGGGCCGTGACTGCAGCTGAGACCCTGTGTTAGAGACCAGGAACAGCTCAGGGCAGCTTCTGCTTTTGCCTGTTTTGATTTATTAACATTGTCCCTGCCTGGTATGTTGTTTTACACACCCTGCTGACCCTTGCCTGTGCCGGACGCACCAGCTTGGTGCCCTGCAGCTCGGCCTGTGTCAGCGAGACGCACGGTCCGTGTTCACAGAGGTGCCAGCTCGGCTTTTGGTGCTGGCTGCAACCCTTCGCCCACACGTCGTTTCCATTACGTCAGTTTTATTACACGCTTTTTCCTAACGTCGAGCCCGATCCCCACCCCGAGTCCTCCTGTGCCTCAGTGCCAGGCAGAGCGGCCGGAGCTGGGGTGCAAAGCGATGGTTAATTGTGGGCAAATATCAGGGTGGGGGGGGGGGAGCGCGGAAACTGGTATTTGGGCGCTTGTAGGCGGCCTGGTGGGAGGCATGAGGGAAGAGGGAGGGAGTGGGGAACGCATGCACGGGGCGATCGGTGGGTACGAGCCAGCCCTCATCCCCTGCCAGAGGTGCCGGGGCCAGCCCAGAGCCCCCAGCCCTGGCTGCTGGCCCTGAGCAGGGACCCCTGCTCTGCTGGGAGCAGCCCCTGGCACCCCAGCCTCCTGCACCTCAGGGGGACCAGCACATCTCCCCAGCTCTGCCCTTGCTCCCACTGAACCCTCTTCTGTGGCTCCCCGAAGCCACGCAGCCGTCCCCAAAACGCCCAGGGGGACGGTGGCGGGGGGACACATCAACACTAAGCACACCGGCCCTCTTGGCCGTGCTACCCTACACAGCGGAGCATGCA